TCGAATAATTTCGTGATTATGAAATAAAAGAAGAAAAGATTCATTGGGAAGAGATTTTTTATTTTTTGGATTGTTGGGTGGGGATGGACTAAACCAATAGTTTTATGGCTTGTATGTCCGGATAATAAAATGCCATAGTTTAGGTCAGAACGCGACAAAAACAAGAGCGGCCGTACTAACTAACTGGAGCCGGTATGTTAAGTGTAATTGTGTGTGTATATGTGTAATTGTGCTGGTTGAGTGTTGAAAACAAACAGTCTTGCAAACTTTGGCTGAAATCGAAAAAGGAATGCTATAGTAGTAGAAAATGAATGAACGAGAGGAAAATTAAAAACAGGGAGAAGAAAAAAAATTCTAAAACGATAAAAGCAAGTAAGTGGCCAAGGACCCAAACAAGGTTGTAATCTTTAATCCAAAAGAGAAATTCTATGAAATAAAGGAAGAGTGAGAGAGGGGTGGAAGAAGAATCTTAGAGATTTTATTTATTTATTTGAGACCATCGTATAGTATACTTTTCTGGTCGTACAATATACTTTTCGGTCGTACAATATACTTTTCTGGTCGTACAATATACTTTTCGATCGTACAATATACTTTTCTGGTCGTACAATATACTTTCTGATATTTACTTTTAGGATATGATGAAACAGAAAAAAAAAAACAAAAAAAAATATTCGTAAATTTGCTTTATTACCCTTTTCCATATTTGTTTATGCTATTGGGATTCCCTTAAGAAGTTTGGAATATGATCTAACAATATATTATTTGACTCCTTATAAGGTATTTGGTTTCAATATCTCTCTTCTGTTAGCGTATTAAAAACAATCAAAATGTTATCATTTAAAACAAATTTTATTCACACATACATATAAATTCATCCATACAATTGACCACGTTGTGCAGTTTGCTATAGATACAATAAATACTTTGCTGACGTTGCTCGGAAACTTTCATTTGTTTAGATTAAATGTTTGAAGTGCTTAGTAGGAATTGTGCTAAAGAAATTCTCATAATTCGTTCAGTTTTCTAGTCGTAGTAGTAACATAAAGTAGTTATTGCAACAATTTCATTGAGATTTTAAGAGATTTTCATAAAATTTTATTGGCTTTAAATTTTATCATTCGGATCTTGTTTATTATGATGATAACTTTTATAATTTTAGAAAATTATTTGAAACATTTAAATTTCTAAATTCGCTTCAACCCTTTTGATAATGACATTTACACAAACACATTATAACTTCCGCTGCATTCCGTTTCGTAGATTAAAAGAAATCTTTGAGGCTAATTATTATTTATAAACTATATTGATATTAAAGAATCTCGAACGTTATAAAAAAGTGAATTTATAACAATGGTCGACTTAACTCATAGCTCATCGCCATACCAGCAAAGCATTCCTAACTTAGTTTTCTACGTGCCAGCAGTTGTTGTTTTTAGTTTGGCAGGTAAGAGCAATAAAGCACAAACACATTCATTCGTTAAAACCAATATGGAAGAGGAGAAAAAAAACATGTATATGTGTCGTCATTTTATAACTTCACACCTAATAAAAAACGAGTAAACGTACTTGATAGATATCTAGGAAAGCAAATATATATGGCAGCCGTTGTTGTAATAAAAAAGGACCTTTTCTTGGCATAACATCCTAACACAAGGGAAGTTGTTTTGAGGTAGAGATCGATTCGAGAATGTTCATGAAGACTCTACATTTGTTGTTAGTAAAATTCCGAGAGGAATTGATTCTATTTTATCAAAAATATGACGAAGTTTTTGATAGCAAAAAGTGTAGCTGCAAGAGGCAGAGCCACTCAGAGATATAACTTACTAAAAAAAGGAAGGATTCATCATCTTGATCTTAAATAACTCTTTGGCAGAGCGAAAAAGAGCTCTTTCGGAAACGGGCCACTCACCAGATATGACATTGAGTCCAGTACAACGTTTTAACATTCGATTTCTCCATATATTTTGGGAAATTGAAACATGTGGAATGTGCAAATTCAATTTTGAATCTGACTAAAGATTTGTATACAGTCAGAGCATTTTTGGTAGGCAAGCCTGACTGATTGTTAGTCATGAGTTTGATGATGTTACATCCAGATTGACAGTCTTTGAAGGCTTTCTCATAATCCTCACGAAGGGTTAAGCTGTCATATAAAATTCTACCAGTAAATCGAAGAGATTTCACTGATCAACTTTAATAGCTTTGATAAAGAGCCTGATTCCACGTTTAGAACCTTTGGAAAAATAGATATTATTTGTTTTGCTGGGGTTAAAATATAAATCGAGATCGGAAAAGAAATTAGCTTTAATCGAGAGATTATTGACAGTAGCTGAAAAAGATGAGTCCGCATATACAATTAGGAAATCATCTGCATATTGAAAAATATGGGTTTTGTCATCCTGAAGATCATGCAAAGAAGCTGTGTATAGATTGAAGAGTATGGGGCTTAAACAACTGCTTTGTGGGATATCACCATATATTTCAACTTTTTTAGTACCCATCACTAATACACGCTGGGATAAAAAATTAAGTATCCACAGCCGTATTTGAAGAAGAATCGAAAAGTTTAAGAGATTCTACCAAGCTTTGTCAAACAGACACAGCCATAGGCCTTGCTGATGTCCAGGGAAAGCATGACAACAATTTTACCTACTTTTTTAAGCTGGCTATGAGAAAAGATAGTTTGTTAACCCAAATACTCGTAGATTTGCGTTTTTGATAGACGTAAGAACGAGCTGGAATAATGTTCTCAGTTTTCAAGAAATCACTTAGTTTCTCCTTAATCATGAGGTTGATAGTCTTTGTAAATACAGACATTAGTGAAATTGGTCTGAAGTTATTTAAATCATTTAAGTCCTTACCTGCCTTAGGAATGGGAACTATTTTGATGCATCGCAAATCGAATCGATGGCATTCACAAGGATCTGGCCTTTGCTGGTCGAGACGTGATCGCCATACAAGCAAAGTCCTGCATTGAAATCTCTAGCTAGAATCACATTTTATTCGCCGTCAAGAAAGTCACATAATCTCTGAATCTCGTCATGAAAGGTTTGTACATCGAGACTGGGTGGAAAATAGCATGACGATATGAAAAGATTCGGTTCAAGGTTCATGGTTTCGATGATGATAATGTCAACAGCAGAGTTATAGGGAATACGTCTGAAATTGACACCTTTCCTAACTAATATACTAACACCGCCGTAGCCATAATTTCGACATTTGGTAGCTGAAGCGTAATTCGAACCTTCAAAATAATTTTCATCATTCAGAAGAACTTCATTTAAGATGGGGAAATGAACTTTATTTGAGCTGAAGTAAAAATCCAAAAACGACAGGTTACGTCGAACACTTTGGATATTATATTAAAAGGATATCATATATAAACTTGAGAAGGAGCCCCAGTGCATTTCCTCGTAGCACTGGGTGCTTGAATCGGGCGAGAATTGTCACAGGCAGTTATTTTTCCTTCAAGTTCTTTAATACGATTATGAGGAATCATCGGCTGGTGACTTTCTTTAATCGCAGCGATTACTCTTTCAATTTCTGAGGAAATAACTGGACGCCGAAGACTTGTTCCAGACGGCTTGGGAGGTGAATTGAGAGAAGGTTTGGTGGATGAACTGAGAGGAGGTTTGGAAAGAACCGATTTCCTTTTGACGACAGCATTAAATTTATTCTTGGATAAAATTTTATTGTGATTTTCATTGTCGTCCTTACTCGAAATGGCAGACGCGTTCCCCAATGGATGGAAATTGTCATCGTAGGAGATGTCGCCAAGACATTCGAAGTAATTTGAACAAAACTTCTCTTTTACCTCTTTATAAGAAAGATTTTTAATTGCCTTGATTTTATTGATGTTTAATTCAAGCTCCCAACTCGGGCAGGAGTTGTTGAGAGTGTTGTGCTCTTCTGAACCACAGGACAGCTCACACACTTCGGAGATTTCCCACAGTTCAGGCATCTGCTCCTTTTAGCTTTACAGAATTTTGAAAAGTGACCATATCTATCGCACTTAAAACATTGCTTTAAGATGGGCACAAAGTACTCCACGGGCAGATGGCAATAATTAAATTTAATCGATTTGGGGAGAGCTTTCCCTTTAAACCCGATTTGGATTGTGGGAATCCACTCATCCTTGTTGTTCGGATTCCTTGTTTGAAAACGGACAGCGGACTTGATCGGAATATCGGACACGGGTTTTTTATTAATCTCGTCTACACTTTATATACATGGGCTGTTCCGAATGACACCAAATATCTCGGTGAACGACTTCGGTATATACGCCTTTAAATTCTTTTTAGTAAAATCACTATTTGTGACAAAATTGTTGGCATTGACAGCAGAGCTGAAAAGCAGTTTGGCTCTGCCCTTGCTAACAACTTTTAGTTCTTGTAAGCCGTGCGTGGTGAAATCCTTCAGGTAATTGTAAAAAAAGAGATCGGAATTGATATTCATACGATTTCCTTCAGCGTTTGCGCACTTTTCGACAAAAACAACAAAATTGCACTTCGACAAACAGTCGTACAAATTGATCTCGTGATTTAGGACGTCTGTAGCAAATCAGAGGGCTTGTCTACTGCCTGTATACTAGAATCAATTGAAACATTTGCCTTAGAGTCTCCATTAGGAGATAAAAGAATTTTATTTTCACCCATCCTCGATCTCTTGGTGTGGCAAGTGGCATTCATGTAAAAATCTTCGAAACAGTCCCTATTAGTAGTTATAAGATCAGATCCCGACCGAGGGAAAAACAACGAAAAATCAGAACGAAAAAAAAAAAAATTATATATATGTTTCTTTTAATTTTTCTCTCACTTTCTTCTTCTTTCTACTCTCCTTTTCTTCCTTTAAAAATTTTTTTTTTTTTTAATTTTGGTTAATTCCCAAACTCTTTTCTCCTTTTTTTTTTTAATTATTTGAATTCTTGTAAATTTTTCTTTATTTATTTATTTCTTAATTTTTGTTTTTTTTTCCCCCTCTCTAACACCAGTAAAACAAAAAAATTATCCAGCTCCCGTTTGCAAAGATGACGTGTCGTATCAAGAGTGTATGAAACGCAAGTGGGGAAGAGATTTTGATTGTATGTGCCAAGACGTCCTTTCTATTCTTAGGTAGCCTTTTTTGCAACATTTAAAGAAAAGAATACCAGCTAATGGTTTATTGGGAGAACAAAGACAATCAATCATTGCACAGTGCACGTTGTTGAAGGCGAAAAAAGAAAAAATTTGTTCAAATAAATTGAAAAATTCTCGAGCAATTCTTTAGTGTAAAAGAAAGAAAACTAACTAACGCTTGTTTGCGAGAAATCGAATATATTGCAATCATTTCACAATGGAATGTCGTGAAGCTAACAAGAGCCATTGTGTATCCCAATTGTTTAACATAGTCCAGGTAGCCAAGGAGAATCTCGTGATAAACCGCTGTGCGATACTGGCGTGGTCTTAAAAAAATGCACCGAATCCAAATATGCAATGTAAACACGTCGAGTATTCGGCGCCGGGCATTCCGTGTCCATATTCTTGAACACGCATACCAAAGAAACATACATCAATGCCGTCGACTTCTTCGAATGCAAAGAGAGCTTTCGCTCGATAAGGGAATTCAGAAGCCATTTCGCCGTTATCAACGAACCGCCTGCGCATGCCTGGTTTTACTTCCACGCATTTATCGGACGATGAAACTATACGTATATGTACTTCGCCAGCGTCAGCTTCCTTCTTCTTAAGGAAGTTATTAACGCGAGTCTCAATAAAAAGGCCTAGTTTGGTGGTGGGTAGACGCTTCGCGTTAAATTTATTCTCTTTACGCTTTGAATCTTTTTTCTGTAAGCAAGTATCGCAAACGAAGCCGCCCGGCCAGATCGAATCCAGCCAGAGTACGCAGATTTGATGCTATTTACGGCCGCACTCTTGGCAATCAACAATTGGTTCTAATTCTAGATGATCGTTCGTCATCTCTTTAAATTGGTCTTTCTTGATTTGCCTGCGTTAATTTAAAATAGAAGAAAATGCATGAATAAATATTTTATACTTACGTTAACGTAACATTAAAAAATGGAAGAGAACAAAAATTACGATAATTGTTAACGTACCACATTTTTTCTTCTTATCGCCTGCATTAGGTGCAAAGGGTTCTGGTATAATGGGTTTGGGTTCGATTTTCACTTTGATGTCACTACCTGTTCCGCTGTTACCGTCCACCAATGGTTTGATGTCATTTTTATTGTTCTAAAAAAGTAAAAAAGCAAAAAAAGTAAATGGAAATTATTGAAAATGATTCCTGCACTTGATCGAAATGAACATTAAATTACTTACCTGTTGTTGCATTGGATTCTGTTGCAATACCTGATTTTGGTAGGATTGACGCATACCCTGGCTGACCTTGTTTGGATATCGATTGCCTCCCCATTGATCCATTGGCAAAAGATTATTACTCATGACATTATTACCACAAGGTCCCATCTGTCCCACGTTATTCATACCGCCAATATTACCAACCGATCTGATCATGCCTGGGTTAGTTTGATTCGAAACCCACACCCATATGATGACACTGCATTATTGGAGGAGCCATAGTGCCACCCTTGCCAAAACCACCACTATGAGGCACTTGTTGGCGGGCAGCTTCTTCTTGAACCTATTAATATTGCTATTTAATATACGCATACTTGTTTGACAACTTGTAACACATTTGGTGACGGAGAATGGCCACCATCAGGTTTCATGCCAATGCCTGGCTGCGGATGTGGCGATGTTATTCCACCGGCCATTGACGTTGAAACGGATGAAGGCACTGGTACCGTTGACGGGCTCATAGCTCCCACGCCAGTAGGCATCATTGCTGTTGGTCCTTGCACGACAAAATGATTTCCACCAACCGCAGGCATTCCAATACCAGCTACTGGTACACCACCTAATACTGGGCCGGCACCTCCTGAACCTTGTAAAGGACGTTGTGGAGCTGTTACTGTTCGAGACATGGGAGCGACACGACGTCGTAGCAGTTGTTGCTGCTGCAATCTAAGGATTTCAGAATGGAATTGATTATTAGATTGAATTTAATTAAATTAACATTTACATACTTTTGTTGCAACTGCTGTTGCTTTAGTTTATGCTTGATATTCGGACAAAAAGGCACTGGACATTTTTGCTCTTGGCATGATAACAGCACAGTGCAATGCATTGCTTACATATAGGACAACCACCATTCGTTTTGGGCTTGCAATTCTTCGTATGCTGCACGACTCTTTTCATCTTCGTGCAAGAAGGCAGACGGCAATTGGCATCACGGCATTGGCAAGCATGCACAAGTGATTGTATACAACGTTGTATAGGTTGTTTGCGAGCTTCTTGAGAATTCGCTTGCTTGAGATCTGCCGGCGACGAACCATCGTCTAAATCGAAACTAAGTTTATCCAATTTATGCGGGTGACCAACTTTTTCCTTACATAGCGCGCACAAATCAAAATCCTAAAAGTAAAAAAAAAATTCAAAATAAAAAACTGATTGATGTTGAAAAAATTTTGCAAAATCTTACATCGCATATAGTGCAGTGGTAACGAGTTTCTACAGCAGTCTTACAATTATTGCAAGTATACACAAATTTATCTTGACCTTGATTATGTAATTCATATAGCATGCATAATGTAGAAAATTGCGCTCTACGTAGCGATGAAAATTCGTAATGTTTGTCACGTGCTAAAGTAAGAAAAGCATCGCGACCATCCATAAGATCGCAAGCTGATAATGGATCAGGATCTTGTATGGGCTACGAAATTAATAATAAAAAAAAGGCCATTAAATCTGAGAAAAGGATGGAAAAACGGATAAACCCTACTTACCGCTAAACTGGCAGCTGATTGAGCTGAATGAAATCGAATAACAAAAAACACTTCCTTGTGTTTTTCCATAGTCGCATATATCTTCGCCGAAAGATCATTTCCAGCCTGTTGCTCATTTGATTTCTTGTTATTTTTACGCCGAGCCGCTTTTGATTTATCGGATTTTTTGGCTTTCTTCTGACCCTTCTCTAATATATGTTTGTTGATTAAGTTTTCTGAGAGAGAAGTTTATATCCGAATATTTGTGATTCAATCGAAAAACGAGCAAAACCAGCGTTTATAGCGGCACTAGTTTTAAAGGAGGAGGAAGCGTTGAAGAGTGCACGAGCGCGTCAAAAAAATCCCCGACCAGCAACAGAAATAGAATGGCGAGGATCGGATACGACAGCCACGACAAAATACTACAGATACATTTCGATGAAATGCCTACAGACGGAACGACTGTCTACAGCAGCGCGGACAGGCTTATTGGATGCGGATACAGCGATAGCAGCGCCGACGACAGTTTGTCGCTCGGTGTTCTTAGTGCGAAGTCTATTGACGGCATTCAACATGCTATTCAGCTGCTAACCATTGACGTCCAACAATCCCAATTGCAAGAATGCCGCAGCTACTTGGAGGAGCATTTCAAGACAGAGCAGGTAGCGATCGATACTCGGCTTATGATCAAAAATTTTTTTCGAGCTATCAGAGGAGCGGCTGCAGGCTTATCCTGCGTGACGCTATAGTTACGCCAGGATTAGCCAAAGTCCGTTGGAAATGTTTTTCTCCAAAATCGTAGATGTCCTATACCCTTATGAAAGGTCGAAGTCATCAGTGCAAATTTCTGCAATAGTAGACAAAATGATGAGCTTCTAGGTTTCCAAGTGGAGAACCGGCTTCAGAACCGACGATGACTTCTTCTTCATCAAGAAAATGAACTACAAAATTACAGTCCAGGTCGAAGAAGCGTTTGAACCGTTCGACCAGGATGGCGTGGCGTTCGAAGACCTAAACATACACCACATCAACAATGACTTATTTTTAGAAGTCGTACTAAAGCTGCTCACAAAATATGGCATTGACGGCTATATTCGTGAGCAGCTAGCATGCCAAGCGTATTTAAGAGATCTCACCCGAGAAAAAGAAGACATATGCGAAGAAATGCACACCGTATTCCAGGAAGACTACACAATTTAACATTCAGTTATGTAGGAACGTGTGGTGGAACAAAACATTGGTAAGAGCATTCAAGCAATGGTGGTATCGCGGCTTGATTTCTTCAGGGCGGCAGGCTCTTGCAACAACGGTAGTAACCACCGCATAAATTTGTTTGGCTACATTTTATTTATGCTGCTCACAGGGAAAAACTTTACAGATTCCCGCGGTCCAAATGTTCATTACTTGTAAATTGCAACACACTATCAAGCAGCATACCGCCAACCAACGGTAAATATATATAAATAAAAACAATTATTATTTATTCGTTTATTTTTATTCTATTGTAAAATACAAAAGATGCATACCGCCCAGCACACGCCCAACAAGAACAAGATGTATATATAAATACATAAAGCAAAGGTAAATCCACATTAAAGTAGGGAATCAACATCAAAGTAGGGAATCAACCCCCTAACCCATGTTAGTTTCTCCTTTTTTCGAACCATGTTATCGAGCTCTAAATAGGTTTTCGATTCATATATTAAGATTTAGAAATTCATTCATTAATTGCATTTTCGTAGCTAGAACAAAATTCTTTTTCTGTGCTTGATGGGAAAAAGCAATTGTAAAAAAATACATGTATGCGTCAAGAAGAGGAAATGCAAAAACATTTCATTTGAGGAGTGGAGTGTTAAAACTCTTAAAACTATCAATAACGGTAGAGCTAAGTTGTTTGCTAACACAGTTTGAAATCACACAGTTTAAATTTAAAGCCAAGAACTCTGTTACTTATATTACGCAAAGCTTTGCTGAAGAGTTTAGCGTTGTGCGCCATATCCTCTTACAAAATGACATTACTATGTTTGCCAAATCTGGATAAAGAAATATTTATTACGGCAACCAGCGTTAAAATCGATTTTAAAGACAATCTGATCGCAAAATCTAGCAAACTTTAAATTCTGCTTTGTTGTTTTAGTGTCTTCAATAGATTCCTTTCCATTTCCACTTACACTATTATTATTTATTCATTTAATTTTATTCCATTTTAGTTTACAAAAATGCATGACACCATATCAACAAAGAATTGTGTGTTAAACGCAGTAAAGTAAAGTTATATTAGATTAAAAATACCAAAAAAACAGCATAGGCCTCCATGCCTGCGCGCCGCCTCCTCATAATGAATGCGAATGAATATTCGCTATATACCAAAGGTAAGTTTGCATTTATCCTTAGTCATTGTTATGTACAATGTATTCATTTATTTTTATTTCATTTTAGAGAAAAAAACAGGATAGACCTTCACGCCCTCACGCCTCCTCATAATGAATGCGAATGAATATTCGCTATATACCAATTAGTAAATGCTGATTCGCGGTATCGGTTGCCAGGTATAACTGAAATGACTCGTACTTTTGATTTAGAATAGCTTGTAGCTTTCAAACGTCATTGCTATTTTCTACGAGAATCGCGATTTCCGCTTGCTACTCAAAGCACGTGTTTGTGCTTTGGTTATTGAACTATTTTCTTCGAATGTGAAACATCGTAGTTTGCCTATACAGGATAGAAAATGCCCAACGATAAGCCTTATTTTCTGATCAGTATACGTTTGTTGCGCTTAGTTGCCATACTTATACAAAAAAAAAAAAGTGTCACACAATTTTGCTAATTTTGTGTGTGAGATATTTCTGTCATTGATTATGAAATGTTTGAATTCTGATAAGCCGCTTTGGCAGCGTACCTTAACTTTAGAAGTTATTCATAAATTGACTACGAAACGTTTTGATTGTAAAAATCACGCTACCAATATTGTGCAAGATATGATTACATCGTTGGCGACTTTGTGCGATATTCATTGATTAATGCATCAGCACGTGAGTAAATGAAATTAAAAAAATTGCCTACAAATCAAAAAAATTGAAATTAAAAAGGAAATAAAATTTTTTGTTTACGTTCGGCTTTGCCATTTTAAAAATTTTCTTATTAATTAATTCATTAAACTTAATTGTTCGTACCTGTCTTCCTTTTCATTCAAAAACATTTATATGATTTATAAGGTATGACATTTGTTCATCGTCTCTCTTCTTTCCTTTCCATTTATATTATTTAATTATTTTCTTTGATATCTCTTTTTAAACATAGTTTGTCATAGTTTCATTTCGGATGATATTTGTTAAAAAAAAATATTTTGAAAGTCTAGCAAATTGCGCCTTCATTTCATTTTTAATAATATATAATATAAAAATGTGGTCTTTGTTAAATTTAAAGTCGTTTCAAATATTTTCAGTTGGTCAGCGTCTGTGGAGACGTACAATAAAAACCAAATCTTTAGTGTATCATAGATTTGGCGTACCCGATGAGGTAGTGGAAATGATTGAGGAAGAATTGCCTGATCCAGGCGATAAACAGCTGCTTATTAAAATTGCATTGGCTCCTATAAATCCGTATGATCTTTATAATATACTAGGTAGTATCCTATTAGTTTTTAAATTTTAAATCGAAATTTTTAAAACTATTTTTCTAGGCAAATTTCATACCGGACCTAAGAAATTTCCTTATACAGGAGGTAGTGAATTTGTAGGTGAAGTCGTGAAAACTGGCATCGAATATACTCCTTTTGTCCAGGGTGACGTTGTCATCCCGTTAACTATGGGTTCAGGAGCATGGACGACTTACAAACTGGTTGATGAGTCCGACGTGCTCAAAGTACCGAATGAAGTTGGCTTACAAGAGGCAGCCACCACAGCGATTACCGCTTGTACTGCTTACAGGTTATTGAGAGATTTTGTAACATTAAGCGAGGGCGATTCCGTAATACTAAGTGGAGCTAATAGTGCTGTCGGTCAAATGATTCTTCAATTATGTAAATTATGGAACATTAACTCGATAGGTGTTGTCCGCGACCGTGACAACGTTGCAAATTTAAAAAAAGATCTGAAACGCTTGGGCGCCACGGAAATTTTAACTGAGAAAGAAATTGGTCGTACCGATTTATTTGAAACCTATCCTATGCTTAAGCCGAAGATAGCTCTGGACTGCATTGGCGGTACGATAGGATCAATGATAGCCAAGCGTTTGGTTAAAGACGGTTTTATGATTAGCTACGGAGAAATGTCGAATGAGCCCATTTATGCCGAATCGAATCAGTTTGTCATGCAAGAAAATGTGTTTATGGGTTTTTCAATAATTAAGTGGTTAGACGAGAATTTCAAATTGGATAAACACGTTCACATGCTCGATGAATTAATGATAGAATTATCAAGGAAGGATTTGATAGCACCAAGAATGGAAATGGTACCGTTCGATTTCTATAAAGTAGTTCCTGATGCATTGAAATTCGTTAATATGGCTAACAGAAAATTTGTGTTCGATATGAGAGAGGAGACGCTCGACGAAACCGTTCAATTAGTTGATTCAAATTAAATATGATTTCGAGCGAATGCCAAAGCTTGTCAACTCGAAACTTTTTTATGCTGCTTGAGGCGGCGGAAATATATGCGAAAGCTATTTGAAGTGATGAAAGTGTATGAGAAATTTAAAAATGTACGAGATATTACGCTCTTAAGTATTAAATTTTTCATAAAGTATTTCTCTTATTAAAAAAGGTTTTGCAAAGAAGAGTTTAAAGACGGTTTTCTTCTGAAAAGGAAAATTAGTCAAAGCTGACAATTTTTGAAAATACCTTTTATCGTAAGACATATACTTTTATTAGAAAATACAAATTATGTTTATTGTCACCTCATTTGTTACTATTGTCAAAATTATTTATACATATATAATTATAAAAAAACTTTTTTTAATTAGCTTTATTGAATAAAATTAACTATTGGGCTTGCATTTCTACCTAAATTTCGACTTTTATTCATTCATCATAATTGAGAAGGCTTTGAAAACCGTCAATGATTAACTAGAACCGCCGCATGGGCCAATTTGGCCATTTCAAATTTTTAGGCTTCAAAAAAATGGCCATTGCACAATTTTTTGGAGATTTTTAATCATAATATGATGAAGCTTTTAGATACCTCTAATCAACTTTGCTTTAGTTGGTTTATAATGTTTCTGGAATCGCCACAAACGTAAAAGTGACGACTACAAATTGAAAATTGGTACAAGCACTCCTTGAGCGATTGGAAATCTTGTCCACCACAATATCGGGGAAAACGAGAAGATCTCAAAAGACACCGATAATTTTTTTTTTATACCTTTCGATAATTTTAATTCTAATTTATACTAATTCACATTAAAAACTTCTTCAGCCAGTTATGAACACGATCCATCACGGTTCTTGATGTGCTGATCCATTTGGAGAAATATTCTTAAAATTCTATTTCGTATTCTACATGAGTCACAACCTCAATTTATTGCAAAAGTGTAATTTATCCAACTGCAAAGTATTTTGTTAACTAAGGACAGATAAGTGTTTCAAACTGGTGAATAGTGGCGGTGGGTAGAGGTGATTTGTAGCAGACAAGTTTTTGTTGATGACGATATTAGCATTTAAATGAAATCTATCAGGCAAAGGCGTAATATTTGTCATTTCTTTGCCATTCGAGTATGATTGAAGGTCATGACGCCAAGTCCTAAACGAAGACGCAGAAAATGAACTTTATAACTGCTCAAGAATTTGCATGTCTTGCGTTTCAGTTGGAACGTTGGTCAGGAATTATTTGTCTTCTTTTGAAACCCTACATTCCTGTATTATTCCTTCTTTGTATGCGAAACGCAGCGTCTGCGGTCAGCTTTATTCGCAACTATTAGAGTGCCATTTCAAAGAAGAGGTTAAAAATTTTAAGACCGCTATACTCGAGATTGCCGACAGTCTAGAATCTACCATTTGCTTCTATGACTTACTTAATCGATATCTAAAAGATAAAGAGAAAAAATATAACATATATAACATAATATATAATATAATAAAAAATTTAATAGCTTGTTACTACAAGAGATTGCACATATGGGTGAAATTTAAAAGCAGTATATCCTTTTACCGGTTAAACAAAAAGTTTTGAAATCCTTTTTCCATTTAATGCCTGTCCTACTAAAAATAGTTGATATGCAAAAAGAAAACTCTAAAATCAAAAAATTATTTTTTCTTTAGTTTTTAGTGCCATAATTGTGTAGATCTAAAAATATCACCTTGCTCGGCATGTTGGACAACCATATTGAGGACTAGGCTTACATGTATTGATTTACAGTTTGCTTTTAACTGCACTTAATACTTTACATCTATGAGAATACTTATTTTATAAAAAATACTTATTTTTATAAAAGACGGCTGAAATCTTTTATCATTCCATCTGTTGCAGTCTGTAAGAAACGTGGAGAACCCCCCATTTCTTTTCCTTTTGAATACTTCCTTGTCCTTTAACCAATTTGGAGCATTCTTAATACCAATCTACGTGCAAGCACTTCCAACGTTTCTACCTATGTTAAAACTGATAGCTTCCAGAGGAATGTTTACCGCACAAATCAAAAGAAATCATCAGACGGACGAACGAAAGTGTCCAAATTGATTCAGGATTTGACGTACTGATCAAGTATGTATATACTTGCGTCTTGTGAAACTTTTTTCTGTTGCAAACCTTTTGACAAAATGAGTATACTCTATGGAGATTCCATAACAAAACATTATTAAAACATAAGTTGCTATTTCGAAAAGGAATTGTTTAATATTTAACATATGAACATTTAGTTAATATATTTAAACATAAATTATTAAATGTTATAAGAAGTAACCTGAACATGAAATTTAAAAAAGCATTTACTATTTTTTGATATTAAAGATTTTTATTAAAATTATTACACTGTCTTTTATCATTTATATCAAGTCGAGTACACTCCAAAGCTGCTTCCAGCTCTTTCTTTAACTTCCAATATAATTTTTAGCATAATTTATGCAAGGGAGAAAATTAGCTGTTTGTAGAAGGAATTTTGATCATAATTTATGCAGGTGTGATTAGTTTGTGAAGTGTGAGTTACCCTAAAAAGAGAGGTGGTTATAATAATATTTGTCTTTATTTGAAATATCCAAAAGTACTGAACAGGTACTATAACTTTGGGTTTATTAAACATGCGTATAATTTAAGTATGTACGAAGAAACATATCGCCAAGACATACCAATGTAATAAAAGGCCACTAAGAAACTGCAATTTGCAGCACATTACTATATAGTACTGAATGTACTTAATGTAATAAAGAGACAACTAAATGACAAAATATCTAAAGATTTTGTTCAAAGCACAAACATTTTTGGTATTTTTGTTATCAATAACAATCACCACGAAGCTATACTTTTGCGGTCTGAAAGAAAGTTATATGTACATTGTAAAACCTAGAAAGTTAAGTGTATGAGCTGATGTTATATCGGATTCGTTGATGCACAGTAGAATGATAGTAGAACACTCAAGTTTGTTTGAAAAAGACCAGCAGTTTTACCGTTATGCATTTAAATTATATATGACATCTGCTGAATTTTTGCTAAATACCGTAAACTTCAGAGCTGTATTTCTTAGAAAATCAATAAACTGCTTTGCCAAACGACAAAAAAACTGCGCATCGTAAAATTGTTCTTCTGTGTTGTTGTAAAAGAGAACGAGTTGAAGGAAATATATTTCTTATTTTAAATAAAGTTTCGCATATGTTTTTCTTGAAACAAAGCGAACATTTTAATATGCGATTCAATAGCGTTGATTCTAAGTTCACAGAGGTTGTTTTCATTTTACGATATTGTTTGCTTTGATTAATTGAAGAGAGTTGATTTTGCGATCACCTCCTAAAGGAAAGTATTTATAATTCATTTCTCTTGTTCTGTTAGTGGCGTGAGTTTGCAATTGGAATAATTAAGCGTAATATTAATTTATAAATAAAAATTATTTTGTACCTTTTTTTTCGTCTATAAAGTGCGTCACTCTTGTTGTTTAACTATAAATATGGCTAATATTGCTAAAATTTTTGCCAATCGGGCCCAGTATATGTTACAAGTAGCTGCTAAGCAATCGCAAATTGTTCCACGTTTCTATAGTGCAGGTATTTAATGTAATATATTTTTTTTGTGTATAAGTATTTTTCTTCAGTTTATTAATGTTGTATAGCGATAGGAGGAAGAATGACCTTGACTAGTACAATACGATGAACTTAAAATGAATAGACTTTGTGCTTACATATGTGCAACATTACCGGCTGTATTACTTGCCGGTTACCAAGAGCAGTTTCAGTTTCTTTACGTCGTGTTTATTTTCCTTGTATAATCTTTAAGGGTGCGTGTTACATAACAGCTCTCTCATTCTCTTTTATGTATATGATTTCCGTAAAATCCAAACTCGTTAAGGAGAAACAAGTTCAATTTTTCAGAGATTAGATAATCATACCTATGGGGCTAAATTAGTGTGCAATCCATCTTCCTATTAAAAGTTTATTAAAAAAATTTCTCTCAGAGAAATTTTAACATGCCTTTATAAAAAAACTGCAACAACATTTGAGAATATTGAATGAAATAATAGTTTTTGCTGGTTTGGCTATTTATCTTATTAAATATTTCAAGATAAAGAATGACGTCCACTAAATTGACAGTAGCATATTATTAATTAATGCATTGTTCATATCTCTATCATCTCAAACTGTGCTTTGCGTAGTAAATCGTTCCACTTCCGATTTGTTTCTTATTAATTTTTGTGGCAAAACGATTGAATTTTTTTGTGAGAATACGTTCATGGCCTGACCTTAAAAGTAGAAATTTTATTATAACAGCACATATAAAACAACGACAAATCTATTTTAAAGAACGGGAAAATTTTTAATAAGATTGCAAGAACAGGGATTTTTCTCCACTTAGTGAGATGTTACAAATTAAACTTTTTGCGCAAGCTACGATATCAAAAACAGCTTCTCTTTAGCCATTTTTATTTAATTCTATAAAAAACGGTAGAAAATTAGGGAGCATTAAATATCCAAATTAAGGTTTTAAAACGTTGAGCTTATGTTTAAAAAAAACGGATAAACTTACCGTGTTTTTGATAGATTCCCTTAATTTCTCAACTTATTTTAGTTAGAGAGACAGATAGAAAGAGAGAATGAGTGAAGTTTAAATAGTAAATAATTGTCGATAACATATTCGTTTCTTCTTCTTTTCATTCATTTGTTTAGCTAACTTTGAATTTATTAAAACCGAATTGGCTGGAGCTAATAAAAATGTGGCAGTTATAACTTTGAATCGTCCCAAAGCCTTAAACGCGCTATGCAATGGCTTAATGAAAGAATTGAGCTCCGTTTTGGACGATTACGAGAAGGACAAAAATGTCGCAGCTATTATTATTACAGGCAGTGAGAAAGCTTTCGCGGCCGGTGCCGATATCAAAGAAATGCAACCGAATACCTATCCTCATTGCATTTTAAGTAATTTCCTTAATGATTGGACACGTGTGGCGAAATGTCAAAAACCTATCATTGCCGCTGTAAATGGGTACGCTTTGGGAGGCGGTTGTGAATTGGCCATGATGTGTGACATTATTTACGCTGGTGACAAGGCGAAATTTGGTCAACCTGAGATTGCCTTGGGTACAATACCCGGAGCAGGTGGCACTCAACGTCTAACACGAGTTGTCGGAAAATCCAAAGCTATGGAAATGTGTTTGACTGGTAATATGATTAGCGCTGAAGAAGCGGAAAAAATGGGTTTAGTTAGTAAAGTAGTACCGGCCGATAAGCTGGTTAGCGAAGCTATTAAATTGGGCGAAAAAATCGGTTCACACTCCAATTTGATTGTACAACTGTGCAAAGAATCAGTCAACACAGCCTATGAGACTACTTTGCAAGAGGGTCTGAAATTCGAAAGAAGAACCTTCCATGCTACTTTCTCAACTGTAAGTCATTTCAAATTAAGATCGAATAAGTGCCTTTTTTCAATTTTTGTTGTTTTTCTTTAAATTTCCAGGATGATCGTAAAGAAGGTATGACCGCCTTTGTTGAAAAACGCCCCGCCAAATTCAGCAATAATTAAATATTCTTTTCTATAAAATTTTATAACGTTTCCTTGAAACAATAATATTTGTTTTTTTTGACCAGCATTGCATTTATATTAAAATTAAAATCGAATTGTGCTGCAATAAAATCAGCGTAGGTTTAGTCATATCATAGTTGTCAGTAAAACATATTTGTTTAATCTAAAATTTATTTCAGTAGAAAGATGGGGGAAATTAGTTAAAAATATCGCACAAACATTGCTTATTTTTTACATCGTCTTGATCGTATGATTTCTTCCTTTACTGACAGAAATTTAATTTCTTTGTATATATGTGAGTGGATATACTTCGTAAATTCATTCAAAAGTTTTGGACCGCCAAGTCTATTAAATAAATATTACATAATAGCATTCACCTCCCAAAAGCACAGTCGTACGAGAGATAAAAACAACAATTTTAAAACTACGTATTGCTGTGGGTCTTCGACCGATTTCGCCCATTTTCAATACCGACCTGCGTGCAAGAACTTTCGATTTTTCTGCTAAATTTGAAGTCGATAGCTTCATTTTTGCGGCCAGGAGTATGTTTGCAACAGACATTGGGCGGATTGACAGACTGATATGGTTAAATCGATTTAAATTTGATGTTGATCTAGAATATATACACTTTGTGGGATCTCTGAAATTCCTTTCCATCACTCTTGGGTGATGCGTATAAAAACTGTAACTTTCAATCCATAATGGATGTCGATTTTTATATTTTTCCGGATTTAATTTCATTCATAATTTTATATCTGCCATCATATGTGGTTTTTTCCTTGTTTTTTGGTTATGCTTAAAAAAGCATAGAAATGTTCTTATCTTTCTTAGGCTATAAGGTCTTTAAATTATAGTACTTTATTACTTTAATTAGTCAGTGTTGACTTTAAACTTAAGTCACTTTTCTTATGCAAATATACTGTCCGGTTATGTGTGTTTACATTTTGCATAAGGAACGTACTCTGGATGTGCCTGCAAATCTATCATTTCAGATCATAAAAATCGTAAAATCATCTCATCATTCATGGATAACGCATTCTTTTTCTTACGTTTAGTTTCGATAGAGATCGTCTCTACGTGTTGCAAACTATTTGCAATACAATGTCTTTTAATTATACAGAACGGATGGCAGATAATATATAATATGCTTGACCACCAAAATAATAATCAATTTTTTTGTACTAAATACAATGCAAACAAAACGCATATGTCTTAATCATTGCGTTAAAATTGTCCTTTGAAAAAGCGGTTTTTTTTAACTGGAATTTTTACCCACTAATCCGCTGTTTTTGTTGCGTTATAGGCAATCCCCTACAAAACTGTATACCAACGGACGGTGTAAGCGACCAAAAGCGTTTTGACCACGAAAAGTTCGAATTTCTTGTGTTTTTCTAATAAACGAACTGGTGGAGGCTTTATTCATGCCAAAAAAAGTTCAAGTTTCTTGTGTTTTTCTAATAAACAAACTTGTGGTTGTCTTATACGGACCATCACGACTCAGCAAGAGAGATTCGAAATTAATTCCGTTTTCAACCAAAATTTGTATTTTGTTTACGATCAAAATAAGCACATTGTTTGATTATGACGTCGATCAGAAAAGATCATGCTATGTCTAACAAGTTTTCAGTAAATTAGTTAATATTAAAAGCTTCAAATTAATTTTATAAAACTTACGTAAATCAGCCAGGAATCTGATGATGACTGTAATGAAAAGCCGCGGCAGCATATTCACCATATGGAGCGACATTAATATACTCATTATTTATTTATTTATTCCACTTATACAAGAAACTCAACTAAAACAAATTTTCAGTCGAGTTCAATTGACTCTTGAAGTAAATCTTAAATTAATTAATATTAAAACTTAGTATAAAAAGAAAAAAAGCATGCACACAACTAGCATAGAGTCACACCCACAATCGGCACAGGACCAAATTGCAAGTGAACCCCTAAGCCATCGCAAACATGCGTAAGCTTGAGCTCGACTCATCGTGACATTATTAAGTTAAAAGCTAGTTTAAGTACGTGTTCAAGCATTGAGAATTGTAAACAAATGTGGACGCTTATTCTCAGATGTTTGGAATTTTCATACAAATACATGTTCAAATGTGGGTGAGGTTGTACGTGTGTTTTCCTGCTCAACAATATTATTGTACAATTTGAGTCGTATACGTTTTGATTTGATGACGAAGCCATTTCAGAGGACAGTTTATCACATGAAGGATGATATTAGGGAAGTTCAGAATACATTCCATGATTTAAGGAATGTGACTAACGCCGTTCATCAGGAGATTATGGGAGATGGAAGTTGACCCGGTTACAACAATGACGCCCTTATCGCCGATTACCGTTGCTAACGTCAATCAAACCTCATCAACAACACAATTTTCCAAGTTGAAATATTGGCCTAGAAATAGTAAGCGACGTCAAAGTGGTGGTCAATATGTTGTTATTTAATTTCGAAAGCATACAAAAAGTTGACACCAGAAAACTACAATATTTTCAACAATTTGGGAAAAGAACTCTTTAAATGAAACGTCGGAAGGAAAAAAAAAGCTTAAAAAAACTACAAACATAAAATTTTGGTATTTCAATATGGTAGGTAGGCCAGGACGATTTTTCTGATGAGCAGTAAGCCGTTCAAAAAAAGATTTAATTTTATGATGAAAAATAAGTGTAAACAAAAATGTATTCATGCATTTATTGAAAAAAAAAGGTAATAATATATATTATATATAAATTGCGGGCTTAATGACAACAAGTCAACAAGCATTGGACCATTTAAAAAGGTTTATTTCGATTCATCATCAAGAGCCAACAATGGTGTATCATCGGTCTGTGGACATGCAGCTGGTGACAATTTGCTGCTACAATTGGGATAATCGTACATTCTTTCTTCTTTCCTGCTTGTTAAAGATGTATTGTAAGCTTTTTTTTCACACAGCATGTTTCGCTTTTCAGAAATAACTGTGTTTTTTATACAAAGTAAATTATTCTCAATATCATCATCACTTTCGTGAAATTCATTTAGTAAGGCTTCCATACGTTTTTTCCCTTTTTCAGTTATAACCTAAATTAACCTAAATGTTGTCTCTTCACAAATTTTAAAAACAACTTACTTTGATTTACGTTGTAAGTGTCCTTCTCCTAGATAACCTCGATCTGAGGCTTTTCCTAAAAAGAATGTACAAAGTTAGACTTGTTAAAAAAAGCCTATAAAGAGCCACTTACTTTCTGTTTCTGGCGTAGAATCGTATAAAAAAGCCAATTTTGTCTTTTCTCTAAATTCGCGGCTGTAGGTTTTCCTGGGGTTTTCGCGTAAAATATATAAAGGGGACCGATACAAATTTCTTAATTTACTCTCGGGTGATACTACAGGACTGTTAAAAGGCGTTGTAGAAAAGTCCTCAAATATCAGTCTGCAAGAGAATGTAGTGAAAATTTACAATAAAGGCGAAGTCTACATGTCATCTACTCTTATCTGCTGTGTACCGAGAGCACATAACGCTGCTTGACCAGAATGTAGAAAGATGAAAAAAATTGAAAAATTGCCAAATTTTCAAAATTTACAATCATGATCTACTCAGAGCTCATTGACTCAATCAATCTAAGCTTGACCGATTGCGCATTTTTGTAGCATTTTTCCTTTGGTCTTACAAATAAAGCTGCAAGTTTAATTTAAAATTCATGCACAGGATTGGAATTGAAAATGAGTTAAATTAATTAAAGGCTATGTCGACAGCACAACATAAATCGAAAGTTCCTTTACTTTTGAAAGAAAAACAAACTTCTTTTTACCTGATTTACTGATGCCATTGTTTTAGAATTTGTTTTTTTTTTAATATTTTATGTTTTACTTGTTTTACTTGTTTGTCGATGGCTGGTCAATGTTAAAATGAACGATGTGCGCGTTTCCGTCTCTTAAAGTTCTGGTAATTTGCAAGTAGCGTTATTTACTTTCATTGTATATGAAAGCACACATACATGCACATTTTCATCTGCAAAATTTCTGCAGAGGAGCATATATAAAAAGAGCACAGAGTTGCTTTCCTATAAATAATAAGATCTCACTACTTTTTGTATGAATTTCTTAATTGAAACGTCGTGAATAATGATGATCTTAATGATCGTACTATAGGAACTTTTATAACAATTTTTATTTCTGATAAATTTATTTGGCAAAAACATGTTTAAAATAAAAAATTTAATGAATGCTATAGCGAGTCTTGATTTCATCGGGATATAAAATTTTATTTCATCATCTGTCCGCGGGGGTACTTAACATGCATTTAAGGAGTTTTCGAGAGGGAAACCACTTTGCTGAGATGTAGAAAACTAGTTAAGTCCGAATGATTTGCTGCAATCAAAACTGATGACTTGTTTTTTCCTTTTATCTTTGAAAGAATTGATAAAGAAAATACCGAAGAGAAACCATTCTATTGCAAACGTTGTGGTCGTTACTTTTCACAACGTATCAATAATATAATGGGCTACTCTTGCCGAAGCTCAGGCGCAGGTTCACCAAAGTTTGGCTGATGATCAACCAGTGTAAGTTGATTAAGATGCTTATGAATTCAAATTGATGGGCATATCCATAATTTTTTTTAGGTTTTGAATATTGCTGTCTGTCGTTTGGTTTTTAATAATTTTACCGAGTTTGAAATGCATGAAAACGGATGCAATGCCCAAAACATTCAAAGCAATGGCCAAACATTTGTAATACAATTATATTGGCATAAGAGAGTTTGCAAAGCATACATATGTTTAATACTAGAAATATCAACATTTATCGATATATACCTGTTTTCACGGTTAGGCATCATTGCGATCCATAATCCATAATCTTTGTGACAGCATTAAGGCCTAAACGTGAAGCTAGGAAGCTAAAATTTCTTTATCGACTAAAAAGATAACATCAGGAAATTGCTGTACATACACCGATTTCACAAAAATTACGGCTCAAAATGTCCATAAAGGTAAAAACAGGCATATGTCAGAAGTTAAACCAAAAAGTTTAGAGAAAGACTGATAATGAGTATTTGAATATCCTTCAGATATAAAAAAATTTCCATCACAATCGTCTTTTTTTCCTTCAAATTTTTAAAAAAATCATGTGGATCCACGCGGTAGTGTTAAATAGTGTACCATT